GGGTATATGTGTTTGTACTGTGACCAAATGATGGGTCACTTGAAATGGTTCATTTAAAGTTAGTTTGGGAAGGAGGGAGAGAGAGAGAGAGAGAGAGAGAGAGGCAGTTTACAAACAGTCTTGATCTTCAAATACAACACAAGGCATTTTTATTAAAGGAGCTGTTGCCTTCAAATTCTTGGTTTGGGTCCTATTCACCTTTAGGGCCATGTACATGAAGTAGTGATGAAAGCAGCATTCTGATTATTCTGAAGAATTTATTCCAGTGCATATTTAAGCTCAGACTAGTGGCCAGTGCATATTAGCCTAAGGCATCTTCCTTTGGATGAATTTATCCTAAGGGAGCTTTTGTCAAAACCAGGCCACAGGAGGGATCCCCAGAATGTCGTTCTTAGGTGAATTGAGTCGGGATTAAGCTGGGAGTGATTGCTTTGGGGTAAAAATAACATAGGCCAGTCAAGACATACTTGCTTTGGTCAGACCAGATATAGTGTTCACTGAGTTCACCTCTGATCAATCAGTCAATCAATCAATCAACAAGCATTTTATAAAGCAGTAACTATGGGATGACATTGGATTTTATTTTTTTTGGGGGGGGTGAGGCAATTGAGGTTAAGTGACTTGCCCAGGGTCACACAGCTAGTGTCCAGTGTCTGAAGTCACATTTGAACTCAGGTTCTCCGGACTCCAAGGTCAGAGCTCTATTCACTGTGCCACCTAGCTGCCCCAATTACATTTCATTTTAAGAAGGATATTGACAAGCGGGAATGAGTCCAAGGAGCATGGCTAGCCACTTTTAAATAAGGGTTGTCATATACCAATCCTCTAGAAAAGGGATATCCTTTCTTAAACCTCTACCTAGTAGTAATAGGAATAGTAGCATATAATATAATATAACATATTTTAACATAATAATATAATATAAAATGAAACGTAACATGAGGTAACGTAAGGTAACATAATGTAACATAACATAACGTAACATAACATAACATAACATAACATAACATAACATAACATAACATAACATAACATAATATAATATAATATAATATAACATAATATAAATATATTACATTTTGTTGTTCAGTCACGTCTAACTCTTTGTGACCCCTTCGGGTTTTCCTCAGCAAAGACACTGGAGTGGGTCACCATTTCCTTCTCCAGTGAATTAAAGCAAACAGAGGATAAGTGATTTGCCCAAGATCAAATAGCTAGAAAATATCTGAAGCCAAATTTGAACTTAGGTCTTCCTGACTCAAGGCCCAATGCTTTATCCACTGAGCCACTTAGCTATCTAGCCACTTAGCATAATATATGATATATTTTATTAATAATATAATGATTATTATTATATCTAATAACATCATATCAATATAATAAATAACATATAAACAGTAGTAGTAGTAGTAGTAGTTATGGTTGAAAAGCAGAGTGGTTTAGTGGAAAGCATGGTGGACTTGGAGCCAAGAGACCTGAGTTCAAGTCCTACTTCTGATACTAGTTATGCAAGTGTGAACAAGTCTGTTAACATCTCTAACCACAGCTTCCTCATCCATACAGTACAGATGATACTTACTTTACCTATCTCATAGCACTATAGCAAAGAATTACTTTATAAGCTTCCAGATGATACAGAAACACAAGATCTTATTAACATAGTCTTGTACTTGATTCTCTACTTCCTTGTGCTATTATCAAGACATTTCATGAATGTTAGTTTTGTCTCCCTAATTTAATTATTTCCTATTTCTTTTGTATACCTGGTTAGGTGGTACAGTGGATGGAGGTCTGGGCTTGGAGTCATCATCTTTCTGAGTTCAAATCTGGTCTCAGACTCTTACTAGCTGTGTAACCCTGGTCAAGTCACTTAACCTTTTTTTGTCTCAGTTTCCTCATCTGTAAAATGAGCTAGAGAAGGAAATGGCAAACTACTGCAGTCTCTTTGGCCAAGAAAACCCCAAATGGGGTCACAAAGAGTCAGACACAACTGAATAACAGCAACAACAAAGAACCTAATATCATGCTGGATATTTAGTAGGTTCTTAATAAATACCTCTTGACTTGATTAGAGGTCTTTGGATAGATCTAATTCTCTATGGTAAATAGATAATAACTGTAAAGTGCTTAGCACAGGGCTTGGATCACAGCAAGCGCTATATAAAAGTTAGCTATTATTATTGACACACTGATATTCTTCATTATAAGTTAGCAAACATGAGCTTGCTCCAAGGCATGCCAGTTATTCAGTTAGGGGAAAGTGAGCTGACCACCCCAACGCAAGCTCAGTGTCCAGACACATGTCACTGAGCAAGAAGAACCAGAAGAGGCCCAGGACAAAGCACCTACAGTCTCAGCACTCAGATGATATCATTGCAGTATAATCTAGTGGAAAAAGCATCACTCCTGGAGCTAGAAGACCTGGCTTTAAATTCCGGTTTTTCCTCTTCCTACCTGTAGGCTCTTAGGGAAGTTGTTGTCACCTCTCTGGAACTCAGTTTTATTGTTAAAATGGAGTTTGGTCGGGGGGGTGGTATCAAAGGAAATGGTCCCTAAGGATCACTGGATTTTAGAATTGGATCCAAGTCACTTAGTCTATCTTATGCCTCAGTTTCCCTTATCTGTAAAATAAGGATCACATTATTTTCATCCTCGGGGTGGTGGTGAGGAAAGCATTATATACGTATGAGTAATTTTTATTACTCCATTCTCACACCTGCTTGTGTTGTCTACTAAACCCTCCCTGCTGGCGCACATTTATTAGAGTTGGCAAAGGTGAATGAATTCTAATTAGAGAACAGTTTTGTGGCTAATTCCATTTGAACAGGGACCTGTGGGGAAGTTTTCTACTTCTTAGCAATGGAGATAAGTGTTGGGGGTGTCTTATACTCCTTTCCATCAACTACCAATCCATGCTGAATCACCTGCCTAGGTTCTTACGTCCTGGAGAAGTACTTTTTGTTACCTGGACAAGCAGCTAGTTAGCACCCTGGACCTGAAGTCAGCAAGACCTCAGTTTAAACCCTGTCTCAGACATTACTAGCTGTGTGACCTTGGACAAGTCACTATACCTCGTGTCTCAATTTCCTCATCCATAAAAGGGGGATAATAATAGCACTTACCTCCCAGGATCATGAGGATGAAAATGAGATATTTCTAAAACACTATATAAATGCTAGCTTATATACATATGTACATATTTATACTAATGTATAATGTAACTAAAATATACATATTTAAGCTATAATTTAAACTAACATGTGTATATACACACACATTTAAACTAACATGTTTAAACTAATGTGCCCTTTAGGCATATGATAGATCAACATTTTTTGTGAGCAAACTGGAAAAACAAGCATACTAGAATTATTAAATTTATAATATGGGCATTTAAAGTAAATTGTTCTCCTGGTCCTGTTCACTTCACTGCATCAGTTCATACAAATCTTCCCAGGTTTCTCTGAAACCACCCCCTTCATCATTTCTTACAGAACAATAGTATTCCATCACATTTATACACCAGAACTTGTCTAGCTATTCTCCAATTGATTGACACCCCTTTAGCTTCCAGTTATTTGCCATGAAAAAAAAAAGCTGTTATAAGCATTTTTGTACACATGGGACCTCACTCTCTCTCTCTCTCTCTCTCTCTCTCTCTCTCTCTCTCTCTCACACACACACACACACACACACACACACACACACACACTCACTGACTTTCTCTCTCTCTCTCATTCACTTTCTCTCTCTCTCTCTCTCTCTCTCTCTCTCAATCTTAAGCCTAGTAATGGTACTTCAGGGTCAGAAACGATGCAGAATTTAATAACATTTTACCTCTGTGCCCTATCATAAAATGATATGTAATACTGAGTTCTTCAATTTTTTAACACCCAAAGATGAACTGAATTATTGTTATTATTAGCATTAGTGATTCTGGACAAGATACTAATCTTTCCCTTGTTTCCTCAACTATAACATCATCACAGGGGTCAGACTAAATGATCTTTACAACCACTTGTAACTCTGATATGTTTTGGCTCTGTGGCTTTCATCACCCTTCCCTTACTTCCATGAAGATTTCTTTGACTTCCTTCTATTCCATGCAGACAGATATTTAAGAATAAACATTTGTTAAAATACTGGTCTTTTTAAAAAGCTTCAGATCTTCTCCTTGGCCAGTGGAATTAAAATCTGAAAGAAGAGTTGATTATGGTGGCATGCATACTTATAATCATTACTATCTGGGAGGCTAACCCATGGATCAGTTGAATTTGGGCATTTTGAGCTGCAGTAGGACTAAACACAATCAGCTGTCTGTATTAAATCTGGCATCAATATGGTATGCCCTGGGGAGCAGGGGGCCACCAAACCAACCCAGGTTGGAAAAATGGAGCAGGTTCAAACTTTCGTATCTATAGGCAGTGGTTTTGGGCCAACAAGTACACATCTAGCCTGGGTGAGATTGAGAATTTCATGTTGTTCAGTCGTTTCAGTCATGTCTGACTCTTCATGACCCCATTTGGGGTTTTCATGGCAAAAATACTGGAGTAGTTTACCATTCTTTCTCCAGATCAGTTTATAGATGAGGGAACTGAGGCAAACAGGGTTAAGTGACTTGCCCAATCACACAGCTGGTGTCTGAGACCAGATTTGAATTCAGGAAAATGAGTCTTCCAGATTCCAGACCCAGCATTCTATCCACTGTGACACTTAGCTGCTCTGAGATGGAGAAAATCAGCCTTAAAAAAAAAATCTAAAGGGAAAGAGATCTATTGGGTAATGTAAGGTCTGTATGACTAGCTGACATCCAACTTGAACCTTCGAAAAGTTAGGTTTGATGTTACCAATCTAACCCAACAGTAGTCAGTTGAAGTACTGTAACCATAACACCAATACAAAGCACATGGTGGATGAGTAGAGGAGATTTAGAGACAGGAACTAGACCTGAGATTGCTCGGGGAACTCCTGGCTGACGAAACTCTCTCTTCTCAATGCAGGTGGGCACTGCTTCTGCAATTTATAGTCCTAGAGAGTGGCCTAGAGCAGAGAAGTCGAACTAACAGCCCACAAAACTCGGGGAACCAGATTAATGTGTAATTGGGGAATGTTTAACAAGGTAAGTAAAAATGTAATACAACACAGATAATGTTAATTTGTGGCTTTCTAAGTCAAGGTGCTACATTAGGGATCTGTTTCTATTTGCATTTGACACCACTGGTCCAGAGAAAGCATCCAGTGATTAAACCACCTTGCCCAGGGGCACAAAAGAGTATGTATCAGATTCAGGATTTTCACCGAGCTCTTCCTGGCTTCCTGGAGCAAAAAAAGATAGAGGGATTTCTGTACGCAATTATTTATACTCCTGGAACTGGAAGCAATGTGACAGGGTATGGATTTGCAAGTTACTTGCAATAATGATATAGGTACTCCTCGCATTGATTGCAATACAACCACTTTTCATCATGTGTGACGCTCATAAATTCCATAAATCCTCCATGGAAAATAAGCCCAATGGAACTGAGACCATCCCTTAGGTCTTTTATCATTCCACAAGTACCATTCTAGGGTCTTAAAGTCAAAAGCATGGATATGTTGGGTGATAAGGCTGAGTATAGTGAGCAAACAAATAGAAGTGACCTCATTTTCTCTGATCTCAAAGCACTCTAGGCACTCATACTAATTCATCTTATATTTATTTGTGCACACAGCTTCTCTGCTTTTTCCTTGAGGACAAAGATGTGTTTTATTTATCTTGGTATCTCTTGCAATACTAGCACATGGATGTTAACACTGAAAGAAAAACATGCTATGGTGAAAAGATTTAGATTTCAGATTTAGATTCAGAGGACCTGAGTTTGAATCCTGGCATTTACTATTTGTGATCCCAGGCACTTAAGCCTCCTAGGCTTTAGTCTCTTCATCTATCAAGTGAGAGGGTTGATCTAGTTGACTCTTGAGGTCCATTTCAGCTCTGAATCTATGTTTCTATGGTGATTTAAGTGGTATTTTACTTGAATTGTTGAAGACGGATTTAAGGCTCAAATTTTTGGACAACCTGTACATCCAGTATCAATTAAATTCAACAAGCATTTATTAAGTGTTTATCATGAAGCTAGGTATTGAAGGAGAGATAAAGATGGGTATGATCCAGATGAGGCCATGAATAAGCTTGTAAATTAGGAGGGACTAGATAAATTTGGGGCAACATGTGGGTGGAAGAAAACCAGCACATGTGTCAGCCTTGCCCCCTGGCATGGGAGAGGGCCTGGAGGCTGTCCTCAGCCAGGAGACAGACTGCTGTGTAAACAGTCCACTCCAACAGGGACAATATCAAGGGAATCAGCACCCTGCCCTGGGACAGTGAGGTCCAACAAACTAATTCACCTGCCACAGTGATATCAAAAGAAAAACAGAACCTTGGAGTTCCAGACATGGGTGGAAGAGTTGTGGGGCCACAGCTGGCAAGTGAGAGTTTCACAGTCTGCCTGTCATGCTGGAGACAAGGCATCATTTGGATTGCAGAAAGATGGGATTGTTATCCCAGGAGCGAACTTAGTTAAAGTCACTTCATTTCTCTAGCCCGGTTTTCTCATCTGTAAAACAAAGACAGCAACACCTTTCTCATAGGGTTGATCGTCAGATCTAAAGAGATAATAATAGCCAGCATTCATATAGCAACTTTAAGGTTTGCAAAGGGTTTGCAAATGTAGCGTATTTGATCCTCACAACAACCCTGTGAGGTAGGTGCTATTATTATTCTCATTTTACAGATAAAAAAATTGAGGATGGGAAAGGTTAAGTGACTAGCCCAGAAGTATGCAGCTAGTTGATGTCAGAGCTAAGATTTGAACTCACGTCTTCCTGACTCCAAGTCTCAATGAACCCCATGATAATAGATAATATCTAAATGACAGCTCTAACTGTTAGTTTCTAGAGTGGTTTTCATAGCCCTTGCAGCAAAGACCACTACAACGCTGTAGCCTATTCAGGTGTCCTCCGCGTGGATCCAGCTGCAGGTCACCCAATGGTCTCTTCAGTCTGCTCTCCATGCATCCTCAGGAATCACCCCCCTCACTCCCCAACACAAACGACGGCAATCTTTTTGGCAGTTACTGTGGCAGTTCATTCGCTTTGGGGATTATTTTATGGGCTGTTTATTCTGCCGAGAGAAACAGAAGACTTCAGTGTGTCGGAATCTCCCCTCCTTCTTCCTCCTCCCTCCTCCTCTCCTTCCCCAGCCACATGAAGGCGGCTGAACAAACAGAGAAATCAAAGATGATTAGACGGTGTTGGAAACCCGCTTCCGCCTGAGCCCTTTCCCTGCCAGAATCTTACATAAGATGCCACCCTGCTCAGACCAGGAGCGGAATAGGGAGTTCCATTTTAAAACTCCTTTGGGACCATTGAAACAGCTCTTTCCCTGGTGGCTTTCCCACCTGGGGTACAATGCCCCATGAGTAGGTAAGAACACGTTCTCTGGAGTTCACTGGCCGGTTTTTATTTGGTTTGGCTTTTCCTTCTCTCCCCTTTTCTCTCCTCTTACAGAAGTTGAATGTGGGTCAACACTAGGGAATTTACATTGGTATTACTCCAAGTAACTTAGGAGTATTATATACAGTATGACTCTGCCCAACCACATAGATTCCTTTTGTAAACTTTGGGGTGGGTGCTGTTTGGGTGTGCTTTTAATCCTTCTGAGTGAATAATTCACTTTGCTTAGATGCTAGGGCTAAAAAATAATTTAAAAAACTTTTTTTTAATCCCTAGAGGTAAACTATTGGTAGAATAGGGCTGGCTATGGTGTCTGGCAACCAAAGTTCCTTCCTTATAGAAAGAGTATTAAAGGAAGAGACCTTAGGATTAATTTACTCTAAGCTCTCTCTTTTATTGGGGCAACTAGATGGTGCAGTAGAGTGCTGGGCCTGGAATCAGGAAGTTCAAATCCAGGCTCAGTCATTTACTAGCTGTGTGACCCTGGGAAAGTCACTTAACCCTGTTTGTCTCAGTTCCTCATTTTTAAAATGTGCTGGAGAAGGAAATGGCAAACCAGTCCAGTATCTTTGCCAAGAAAACCTCAACTGGGGTCATGAAAAGTCAGACATGATTGAAACAAGTGAACAACAAATTTCTCATTTTATATATGAGAAAACTTAGCCCTAAAAAGGTAGAGTGACTTGTACAGGATCTCATAGCCACTTTGTTGAAAAGTTAGGATTAGATGAACCCAGGTTTCCTGTCTCAGTGTTCAGGGCTCCCATCATTACTCCATGCTGCATTCTGGATAACTGTGGGTTCCTTCTGATGCTTGCTAAGCCTGCCATTGTATCTCTTCAGCTGACTCAAATGTATCCTCTATGGGAAAGAAATTCACATTCATTGGAGTGACTTGGAATCTCAAGAATGAAGGAGGAGACTCCTTGAACACCTTTGCAATTAACCATACACCTGGCCAAAGACCTTGGTAACTGAGAAGAATGATCTAAAGACTCAATCAATAGAACTCTCAGGATTAGTCTGAGGAATGAGATGATTGGGACAACCTGGCATGGACTGTGGTGAGAAGAGAGACCATATATCAAGAGTCATTCTGAGGAAATGGGCACACATACATAACCTAAGGCCATTACATGTTCTATCATGTTGGGAAACCCCAATTCCTTGCCATTATTCCAAGGGGAAAATATCACTTCTCATACTTTCATTATAATCCAAGTCTGTGATTAGAAGGGTTACTCTTTTCTGTTGTCAGGGAAACATGAAGTGACTGAGTTCAGTAAATCCTGGGTTATCTAGCTGCCCATTTGCACCCTCTACTTCCATTATCAGACACTAGAGGGAAAAACTGAGATAGAGGGATCTCTCTATAAAAAAGCTCATTTCATGTGCTTATTTTATAGGTAATGTTTAAACCAGTGTACAATCTACCGTTATTGTTATCTATAAAAGAAACAGAATCTATATGGTAAAGAAAGAGCCCCAAACTCAAGCATTCTAGATCTGTCATAGGTAAATTCCTAGAAGAAGTCATTAATTTCCGTTTTTGTTGTTGTCTTTGATCTCATTTATACTGTCATAGTTATTGTGTATATTATTTTTCTGATTCTACTAATTAACTTTTCATAAGTTCAGGTAAGTCTCCCCAAGCTTTGCCTTGTCACTGGTACAGTGGATAGAGCACTGGGCCTAGGGTCAGAAGACTTGAGTCCAAATCTGGGCAAGTCACTTAACTGCTGTTTGCCTCAGTCTCCTCACCTGTAAAATGGGAATAATCATAGCATCTATGAGGGTTGTTGTGAGGATCAAAGAGATAATATTTGTAAAAAAAAAAATGCTTAGCACAGTTCCAGGCACATAGTAAATGTTGAGTATTATTATTGTTATTATTATTATTCAGTGGCTCTGTGACAAAATATAGTCTCCTCAGTCGGACACTTAAAGCTTTGCACCTGACTCCTACTTCTCTTTCCAAACAGTTCATATTATGTCATTTTGTTCAATCTATCTCCCAGCCATAGACATACTAGGTATTCCTTAGCCTTGATATTCCATCTCTCAGCTTTTGCACAGACTATCCTATACTCTTATCCCCAGTTCTTGGCCAATACAAGGTTTTCCAGAAGTCTTAGTGCAATTAGACTTCTGGGACACTCTGTACTGTGCTCTCACCCTCTCAGTGTCTCTAGGTCCTGGCCAGCTCAGCTTAGGTGCCACTAAGTGGAATCTTCCTTGGTGTCCCCAGTTATTCTTGCTCTCTGCCTCCTCAGTTTGCCTTGTATGTTTACATGTATGTTTACATGATGCATCTCCCCAGTAGAAGGTAAGCTACTTGACGGTAGAAGTTTTTTCATTTTCTTTCTCTTTTTACCCCCAGTACCTACTAGCATGATGTCTTGAACATAAGAAGCACTTGTTATCGTAATTTGTTATCTTAAGTTGGGTGAAGTTTCTGACTGTGTGTATGACTGCCTGGCTGCATAACTTGGAATAGGGGATTAATTTTGGACCTCAGGTTCTCCATCTATGTAAACAAGGATAAGGGACCAGACCTCTTTGTAGCATATTTTTTCCATCTGAAGAAGATGCGAGGATAATGGTAACAGGGAGCCCACTGAAAAGATGCCTGACTTAAAATCTCAGAGCCCATTGGTATTGACCCAAATATAACATTCCATGGAGAGCAAAACTCTTCCCAGCAGGAAATAGCTGCCAATTTCAATGTTACAATTTCATAAGATGCCATAGATTTGGAGCTGGAAGGGACTGTATAGAACATGGACATTCTAATCCAAGCTCCTCATTGTGTAGATGACAAGACTGGAGCCTAGAGAGGAGATGTGACTTTTATCCCATGTTTACATGGCTAGTAAGTTAAAGAGTCAGGATTTGAATCCAAATCTCCTCTCTCTATATCCAGTTGTCCTTAGCATCTATATTGCTTAATGTGTTGGGAAAAGGGGATGGGGGTGAGTGGGAAGAGCAGCTTTGCCAGAACATTGTCTCCAAAAGCATAGCAAAAAGTCTAGCTAGTGATTAATTAGGAAGGGAGCTTCTGAGGTGACACTTCCCATCACTTTTACGTGTTTGGTTTTGAAAGGTTGGGCTGTTGGATATCATAAGGTACGTGGGGAGTGGTTCTGGGTTAGGGCCAATGGAGGGAATTCCAAGGGGAGCTGTACAGTATTCTTATGCATGGATGATTCAGTCAAAAGTTATATAACCCAGTTATAGTTCATTATATCTTTTGTATTAAAATAAATGACCAAAGAACAAATATGAGTGTTAGCTAATTGTTACTTAATAATCTTAACAGTGATAAGTTTGACCAAGATTTAAAGAAATAAAAATATTTACATATGCTAGGTTGTTATTGTCTCCTCTAAATTTCAACCCTCACCAATCATTGCTTAATCTAGGGTGTATGTGTGAATCTAGCATTTTGGGACCTAAGGGCAGTTGAACATGAAAATCCAGTACAGAGATTTTTTTTTTGGGGGGGGGTCAGCTTTTAAGGAGAAGATAATATCTGCTTACAATTTATCAGATAAAAGGAATTACATTACTGTATGATTCCTAATTAGCTCTTTGAGTACTCCTTGCTCATTTTGACTCATTCATTCAATAAATATTTAGTTTGCACCTACTGAGTTCGGAGCACTATGCCAGACACTAGGGGAGATCTAAGTTTAGATAATATACAGTGCCTGACCTCATGACAGTTGCAGTCTTGAGGGGGAACAAGACAGAAACACAGACAACTATGTAATCTGTGGCCTAGATCCCCATAGAAATATAGCTCTGTTCTCATAAAGATGATGTTTTATCTCAAAGGGTTCTCAAAAACAATACTCAGGGTTTCCTTCCTCTGGGAATATCAAAATTAGGCCCATTTTGCTTCTAGGCCTATCAGCAAGCACTGAGGCTAATAAAGTCTCTGATATAGGACTCATTTCATTAAACCCAGCAGAAACAATTAGAAGACTGACTTATTAGAAGCAGAAACAATTAGAAGACTAATTATTGAAGACAGTTCCCTTTCCATCTGCAGGAAACTTCTACCTTATGTAGTAACCTATACAGTGCTCCAGACTTACAGTGCTTCTCCCTACCCTTCCCCTCCCCCTGAAATAGAAAGAATCTGACACTGATAGACGGTAAAGTAACTGCTTTTGTGGTGGTTCTCTTATTTTTACAGGGAACTATAGAGTCCTTCTGGCTCAAAGTACTACCCCAGATGGGGCTTTACAATGGTGAAAAGATTCAGACCTTCTAGGGAGTCAATTCAGCTTTGATATGTACTCTGTCTTCCTCAGACAGAGGATCATGTAGTCATCCCAGAATCATAGCACCCTTTCTTCCCATCCCTAGGCCCCAAACATAGGAGAAAGGAACTTGGGGCTCCTGGACCTACACAGACTACCTGATTCTTAATACCAGTTCTTCGTCTCATTTCTTTTCTATTCTGGATTTCCACAATTCCCAGCTCAAACCAGAAATTTCTCTACTTAGCTTAGGAAGTCCTGTCAATCTACTGTTGGGGCACAAAACTTCTCTGTTTGGCTTGGGAGCCCTGTCTCTCTTCTCCTGGTGCAGTTTATTTCTAAACCTATTATCCATTGACTTCTACAGCCACCACTACTTTCTATGAGAAACTTTCAGGAAAAGTCATGCATTTACAGCCCTCCTAAAGCCCCAATTGCTTGACACGCTACAGAAGGGCTCCTCAGGCATCTTTCAAGATCTTATGACTTTTTCCTTCCAATCGGAAGTCCTGACTTAGGATGACTTCCTTCCATTCACCTCTTTCCTGCCTTAGGGCTCAGGGAGTATGTTTCTTACACTGCTAGTACTTCCCAATAGGATGGAAAAAACAGAACAAAATAAAGCTTGCACCCCTTTCCGTTTTTCTTTCCAACTCCCATCATTCCCTGCTGGTGATTGGAAACAGGATATGAAAAGTATCCTGAGGTTCCTCATTATAATACTAGGAACATCTGAGTGGGGGAGGGGCAGGACTGTCAATACTGTGATAGCAGCAAATGTCCATGCCCTCATGATGATTGTAATATACTATGCTTCATGGTAAGGACTCTAGAGAGTACAAAGTAAAATGCTATGTGAGGTCTGACTTACTGGGGGGCATTAGGGAAACATTTGTGAAGGGGGTAGCATTTGGATGAAGCTTTAGAGGATGCATAGAAACCTAACAGGTGACGAGGGGAAGGGGAGATTCCAGACAAAGGAAGCTGTGTTAGTAAAGGAATTGTGACAGAAAAAAGGCTAGTAAAATGTTACAAGGAAAAGGCAATGTGAGTGTATGGCTATGGAGGGAGGTGCTAGTAAATGTTTAACAACTGGATCTCTGAGGGGAAAATGTACACAAGACACACCTTTAAGTTTAATCTGCATTATTGACAATTTTCTCCAACATTTTCTTAAGTCTAGACAATCAATGAAACAATAAATCAAGCCCTGATTTGTAGCATTTGCCAATTTCTTTTCTTTCTTCCTTTTCTTTTTTGGAGGCAATCAGGGTTAAATGACTTGCCCAGGGTCACACAGCTTGATTTCCTAGATGTAAAAGCTCACACTGAAAAATTTAACAATTGGTTCTTGAAAGCTAGTATGAGCTAGTTCCATCACATCACTGGACATAGGAGATACTATTGATAGGGCAACTGATTGAATTTGGAGATGATGTAAAGGATAGTGAAGAGTAAAACCAAATGATCCCAAGGTTCGAGAGAGTGGCTGACTAGGAGGATGGTATCCCCATCAACAAAAACTGGGGGGTGGGGCGGGGCGCAGCTAGGTTGCACAGTGGTTAGAGCTCCAGCCTTGGAGTCAGGAGGACCTGAGTTCTTAGACACTTGACACTTACTAGCTGTGTGACCCTGGGCAAGTCACTTAACCCCGATTGCCTCACCAAAAAAAGCAAGAGCAAACAAACAACAACAACAACAACAAAACAGGGAAGTTGGAAGGAGGAAAAGGTTTTGGGGACAATTATGAGGTCAGATTTGAATATTTTGAGCCTGTGGTGTCAGCAGGGTATCCGAGTGGAGACGTCGAGTAGACAGTTGAAAACAGTTTGAGCAAGAGAAGACTCCAGGTAGGGGATGGGGCGGGGAGTAATAGCTATTTTCAAGAATTTAAAGGGCTACCTTATGGAAGTGAGATTAATTTTGTTGTGCTCAGAAAAAAATAAGGGAAGTGGTGTGAGGGAGATTTAGGTTTGATGTCAGGAGATCTATTAGGGTCATGCCAAAATGGTGGGGGTTGGCATGGGATGGCATGAGATAGCATGTATTCTTCCTCCTCAATGGAGATCTTCCCATAGAGGTCAAATGACCACTTTTCAGGGATATTATAATGGAGGTTTCTTGGTGGGGGTTGAATGGACTGGCTCCTCAAGTCCCTCCTTTGTAGCTATGAAATTCTGTGATTCGCTTTTCCTTTGACATTTGGGCTCAGAGCAGAGATTGGACTGGACATACAGATTTGGGAGTCCTATGTATAGTGATGAATCCCGAAACATGGGAGTGGATGAGATCACCAAGGAGGAAGAGAAGAGGGCTAAGGAAGTGGTACGAGTCAGCAAATGAGACTAAGAAAAAATGAGGATTAATGAGCGGAGAACAATTTGACAGAAGTCAAAGGAGAAGGAAATATTCAGAATGAGAGAGTAATAAATAGCTATCAAAGATGACAAAAAAAGATAAAAGAATATGAAGCCTGAGAAAAAGCAATCAAAGTTAGCTACTGGGCAGTCATTCGTGACTCTTAGATACAAAAATATTTACAGCAGCACTTTTTGTTGAAGCAAATGTAGTCCTTTTAAGCTGAGTATCCTTATTCCAAATCTGACTTTCACAGATGAGTCACATTTCCCTAAAACAAGGGTACATCTGCCTCCTCAGGGTTCTAGCTTTAGGCTTCCCTCTCCCCATCAAGGATTTTGCAAAAGTCCTTGCATCCTCATTTGAACACAGCCAGCAGAAAAGAGGAAATGCCTCTATTTGGCTGGTCAGTGTCTCCATTTCAGCAGGCAATCAAAACTTCATCTCTTCAACATGTGGCTAGTGGATGGGAACCAGTAACAATGTTTATGCATACTCCAAGTCAAGGAGTAGAGCCCTAATGTTACATATTATCATGTCTTTCAGGAGGAGGTTCCCTAAACTCTTGCGTGTGGACTGGCAATGGGCAGGGTATATGCTGTGCCTGCTCCAAAGATGGGACTTGACACTCTTACACACAGACACAGACACAGACACAGATACAGACACAGACACAGACACAAAGAGACACACAGAAACTGGAAAAAAAAAGGTAGGCTCTAATGAATTTGGGGAATGATTGGATGAATTAAGGTATTTTCATGTCACAGGATATTAGTATAACATAAGAAATAACTAAAAGGACAGATTCAGAGAAGACCTGTATGAAGTGATCCAGAGTAAGTGAGCAAAACCAGGAGAACAATTTATAAAATGACTACAATAATATAAAGAAAAACGAGTTTGAAAGAATGAAGAACTTTGATCAGTGAATAACTCGTCATGACTCCAGAAGAATGAAGACGAAACGTGCTTCCAATCTCTTGTCAGACAGGTGATGGACTAGAGGTGCAGAATGAGACATACTTTTTCAGACATAGGCAATGTGTGACTTTTTGTTGCTTGACTACACTTATTATTATCATTATTATTTTTACAAGGAAGGGTTTTGTGAGATGGATCGTTGGAAGAAGTGGTGGCCAACGATAGTAACACAAAGAGAGAAAAAGAGAGAGAAAGAAAGAGAGAGACAGAGAGAGAGAGAGGAAGAAGAAAGAAAGGAGCATCAGTGAAACAATGGAAGGGTAAAAGGAAGAGAGCAGAGAGATATATATCACAGAGGACATGGAGAAGCAGGGCAGTTTTATTGTTGATGTATTGAATTTAGTGTGTGCTTTTGACTAATTTCATGTGCTGCTCTTATTTTCTGTTCCTTATTCACTGAGATGTTTATATTTGTTGATGTTTGTTAGGTTCATAATAAAATGGTAGAGAAAAAAAAACACATCATTTGTGACCTTTAAGAGAACAGATTTAATAGACTGGGGGTTGGAAATAAAATTTCAAGTGGTTCAGCAATAAGTAGGTGATAGAAAAAGCGTAGCAATGACAGTAGACTACCTATTCTATAAATTTAGCAGTGACAAAGAAAGGAAATATAGGATAATGATAATAATAGCAATAATGATACTAGTTAGCATTTGTCTAGTCCTTCAAGGTTTAATAGTACTTTATATCTAAGACCTTATTTGATCCTCACAAAAACCAAATGAAGGAGGTGCTATTAGTATCCCCATAGTGCTTTACATAAATTATCTCATTTGATCCTCACAACTATCCTATGAGGTAGATGTTAGTATTGTCCCCATTTTACACATGAAAAAAACTACCTGAGAGAGGTTAAGTGACTTGCCCAAAGTGAAATCATGTCTTCCTGACTCTAAGTCGGATAGTCCATCCACTGCACCACCTTGAGAGCATGGCAAGTTTATGGGGAAAAAAATTATGTTGGTTTTTTGAATGGGAGAACCTTGTAAGCATCAAGGAGGACTCCAGTAAACAGGGGAATATTGAAGATGATTAGGTGGATAGAAGAGAAAGATAATGATCAATGGGCCAAACTCTTACAGAACAGAGGGGAGAATAAGGCAATAAAGGTGTAAGTGACAGAGTTAGCCTTGGCAAGGAAGAAGGTCACCCCCCTCCTCTGACACTGAAACAAAGAATAAGAGAATACGCATAGAGAGATTTGGAAGTGTGGAGGATGAGTGAAGAAGGAGCACAAGAGCTCCTTCCCCTTCCTCTTACCTTTCTACATTTTGCTATCGGCACAGAAATTAAATCAGTATTGCCATTGCTTCTGGAAAGGACACGTCAATTAATTGACCATCCTATGAATCATTCATAACACTGAAGATCAATATTCCTTTCCTTGACCAGCCCAATCTCTGCTCTGAGCCCAAATGTCAAAGGAAAAGTAAATCATTCTCCTCCATATGTTTTCTTTCTCTCTTAGACTGTAAGTTCCTTGAGGGCAAGGACTATCTTACTTTTTTGTATTTTTATTCTCAGTGCTTATCACAGTGCCTGGCCCATAACAAACACTTAATAAATTCTTTATTTTTTTTTCTTCACTCATTCATTCCTTATGAAGGCACTTTTTAGACAGAGAAAGTATGCCTAAGCTAATTAGAAGTACTATGGTAGCATATTAATTCCTTCTCTCTTAAAAGTTGCAAATAAATAGTTAACAACTTTCTGTGAAAATCCGAAGACCATAAATAACTGGAACCAGGAAGGGGAGACAGAAATGGGTAAAGCAGCAGATGCAACAGCTCAGGCTAGTAGAAATAGTCCAAGGTAATTAACCAAGTAAACAGAGATTTAGTAAGCATTAGTAATCATCAATAGAATTGGAACTCAGCAGTGGGAGGAAAATCCAAAGTAACTGATAAATAAACAGGCAGATACTCAGTAAGTACAATGAATTAGCACTGGAGTAGAGCAGGGACATAATGAAACTTTCAATACTAGCATATAGTCTAATTGCTTGGTGCCCTATTCCATATCTATTCTTACACATACTCATGCCATTCTGAGTTGTGTAATATATCCTGCCACCTAATATGCCAGGCAGAACTGCATTTTTTCCTATAGAATAAGGAATTGTTAGGGTTAGATTGAGATGTTCTAAATAACAGTCGTAGTTTATTGGGCAAAGCCACTTAATTGTACCTAAGTGTTTCTATTTCTTTAAATCATGCTCTGTTACATAGTATATTCTTTATTAATTAGAAATTTAAGACAAGTGATATCTATTTCATTAGTGTGTTAAAGTTCTATATTAATAGAATTTAACTCTGCTATTCATACCTTAAGAAAGTCCGAATGATTGATTCATATAATCATACCTTAAACCACCACCATTTATCCCATGGCAGCTGCCCAGATTTTAGGCATAATATTTAGGAGGAGGTAATAAGCCTCAAGACCTGGCCTTGAAAATGTAAACTTCTGAGTAACAGCAAACATTAAACTTCTCTGCAATTTGATTTAAACTAGAAGAGAGATTATGACCTCTTTATAAACATATCCCATTATGTGCACCCCCTCCCCCTCCATTCAGGATTCTTTCTCTTGTTCTTCCTCTGCCTGATTCTAGTCACTTCTGAGCTTTTCCCCTACTTGCCTGTCTTTCATAGCACAGTATTACTGATCAACTAAACTCTAAATATATGACCTGTGACATATACATATACACATATATGTATATATGTGTATACATATATGTATATGTATATATATATAAAGTTTCTTTAGTGATTCTAATTTTTCAGCTCACTTCAAAATCAGTTTCTTTCCTAAAGAGACCAGATGCTTTTTCTTTCTGATCATTTTGAAACACATTTCAATAGAAGATGTACAGATGTACACATAAGTTGTAAAAGAGGTTTTTTTTTGGTTTTTTTTTTTTTCCAATAATAGAGGCTACATCATGGTAGCCAGTCTCCATGTCAGGAGTTGGATTATCACCTAAAATGAAGACTGAAATGGGTAATAGGAATGACATAAAGGGTCAAATGCTTTCAGAATAGACTTCACAAGGCTGTCTGCATTCTTTGGTTGTAAAATTTTGTTTTATCTGACATCATTTCAAAAACAAGTGTACTACTCTCTGAACTTTGGAGATTTAAAAAAAAAAATGGAGTATTTTTTTTTTTAAATATTAAAATTTGACCTGAATGCCAGAAATTAACATTACAGGGCAACGCTCTTGCAGTCCAATTTAAATGTCTTTTTATTTAAACCTTTTCTATTTATGGCCTTCTGTTCTTGGATCAGGGCAGTAGCATTCCTGAACTAAGATGCATATGCCCATGCAATAGCAACTGGAACTAACCATGGAGAATTCTTCACAGGTATTTTCAGGTCTTGCTTCCAAAGATAGCCAACTTGGAACAGATGACTTTTTAGCTTTTTAAAGGAGGCTTCCCCCAAATCTCACCTTGGAATTTCATGGTCATCATTTCAAAGCTATTAACATTGTTCTTTTTATAGAAAACAAAGAAGAAAACATAACAATCCTTTCAATGCTCTTTTCTCCTCATTTCCCAGGACAAACTCCAAGGTACAATTTGGATGGGTTCAAACAAGAAAAGCACAAAGAAGGGGTGGGAAGTGAAGAAGAGGAAGTCCCCATGCCCATGGATTGGCTTCTACCTCTCTATTCCCAGAACCAGGGTAGCCTTGCCTCCAGTCCCCACCCCCACTCCCACCACCCAGAGAGATTATTCTGTGGCTTTGGCAGTGGGACAACAACCTAAGGAAAGGCAAGACCATGTATAGTACCGCATTTTCTCGTCCAGCCCAACCCAAGATTATTTTGCTGTGAGCCTGTCACTGTGGGAAAATTGCTAAAGTGTAAAGTTTCTTTCTTTGTCCGCCCTGTGCTCCATTTACCAAAGAGCCAAGTTTCTAACAGAGCCGCCTCTCAGAGAGCTCATGAATGACTCCATTTTCTCACAGTGGCCCCTGCTTGCCCATTGTCAAACTGTCAGATCCACTTGTATAGGTGTTCTCTGCAGGAAGGAGCTGTTATGTAATGCCTGCCGAAGGGACGTTGAGGGAGAGAGAAGGATGGGAGAAACAGAGAAAGAAAGAGAAAAACAGAGTGACAGAAAGACAGAAGAAGGGACAGAGGCAGAGACAGAGACAGAGAAAGAGAAAGAGAGAAAGGAAGGGAGAGAAAAAGAGAGGAAGACAGAGAGAAATGGAAGAGACAGACACACAGAGAGAAAAGAAAGACACAGAGAGGCAGAGACAGAGACAGACAGACAGACACCCACCCACACTCACAGCGTAATGAAGAACAAAATGTCCTCCATTTTGTCAGTCAGTATTAGGACGCCTGTGCAGCGCTTTTGCTTTAGGATTCACACTATGCTTCATAATCATCCTCCATCACCTACCCTTACTCTCATCTTTAATTAATATGAATTGATTGTTGAGTTCTCTAGGTACCCACTGCAATCAATTTCTCCTTTTCTATTTCATAACAGGGATGTGGCATGATAGTACCAAATGCTAGACTTGGAGTCAGGAAGACCTGAATTCAAATCTTGCCTCAGATATTTAACCATTTGTGTGACTCTGAGAAAGTCACTTAACCTCTCTATGGCTCAGTTTCCTCACCTATAAAATGGGAATAATAATAGCACCTATCTCACAAGGTTGTTGTAAAGGTTACACACACACACACACACACACACACAC